CAAATTAGGTGAGCCAGCATTTTTACAATCATTATCCAAATTTTTCCATAATTTTATTCCTTTGACTGAAGTGCGTCTGTCCTTCAAATTTGTTTGAATTTTAGGTTTTACAAATATTTCAAGTCCCTTAAGATTATAACAACTRTCCCTCTTAACAAAATTTGATTGAATGTTCAAAGGAAATACATTTTTATGTACCTTAWACATAACCTGCAAATTATTCTTCAACCAACTCATAAAACTTTAATGATTTCAACTGTTGAAATAATATATTTGATGGGTGATAGTAATGTTTTCTGGTGATAATTCGTACAGCTCTTTTCTGTAAAATAAAAATAGGATTAGTAAAAGTTTTACATGCATTCCCCCAGACTTCTATACAATAAATCAAATGTGGAACAATTTTTGAATTACATAATATAATAGTGCCTTATCATTACATAACTTCTTTACTTTCTGCAGTACTGATATAGATTTTGCTATTTTTGTTCTTAAYTAATTTATATGAGGTCTCCATCTCTGCTTTTTATCAATGAAAAGAGTAATTGTTCTTGATGGAATTAATAAAGAAATATTAAATATTGTAAAAAATCTTGCTGACAAAAGATAAAAGGACTGGGTGGACATGATATGGTGTTTATAAAGGGTATAATGAATTATGTTATCGAACCATTTACATATACGTGTAATTTATCATTTTCAACTACCGGTAGTATATAGTATTTCCAGACAACATGAAAATAACCAAGGTAATTCCTCTTAAAGGTATCATATTGTGCTTTTAAATCCTTCTTTTTCACATCTAAATCATTCACTTATGGTCTATTTAAAATAAAGCTGCAACGCTTTGGTCTTAATTCTTCGTTTTTGTTGCTCCACAGACTCCTTGCTTTCCTTGCTTTACCTCTGTTCTGAGTTGTGCCTCAGAGCAAGCTGTTTTGGTGCGGTCTCTTTAAATACAAGTGAGATATTTCAAACCCCGCCCCTCCAGGTRYCTGAGCGTTCAACTCCACCCCATTCAGCCATGTTTGTAGTTTCATTGCAACAACACAATTATCTACCGACTAAAAACTGTTTTTAAGATAAAATAAGATAAGATAAAACTTTATTGATCCCACAGTCTGGAAATTTGCACATTACTGCAGCTTAATACAAGAGAGGCTGAGAAGAATAATGAAAGATTAATAAAAGATAACAAACAAAACCTCACAATAGACACATGGTATATAGTAATGTACCAATGCACATATACACATATACATAAACACATATGCTTATTTATATACATATATACACCATAAAGTACAGTACAAAATGAATGTATATGAAGGTGCATATTAGTAATGGCAGATGGCAAAAAAGGATAAGGATGTCAACAACAGTAGACTTGTCAATCCAGCCTTACATGTACGAGCCAGAGTCTGACCCAGTGCAAGACACTCAGAATGACAAACCTGCAGAACAACGTCTTCGAACAGATGTGTCACAATGGTGCGTTATTTATTTACACACTCTATATCCTTATCTACACTGGGGAGCATAGCTAAACTAAAATACATGCATTTGAACTACTATTTAACTACTATTATATTATATATTTTACTTTCGTGATCAATAAAGTATTTTTAATTGAAGAACAACAATATACTCACACTCACTGTACAGATGTGAAATTATTTTAAATAAATTGATTTTTGTGCTTGACTGTTAGTTTGAAATGTACAAAAAGCAAATAAAATGTAATTGTTTTGATTTTTCATTACCAATTAGCCTATTGATTTCCTTATGTCAAATCAGAACTTAAATCATAATTAAATGATCAGTCAAATTCTACTTTGGAACTGTAACTAATATTGTATGTCACAGGTCTGTGGGACAGCAAAGAACCTGGAACCCAAA